AAAAGGTTTTTATGAAGCACATACTTAATATTTGCCTTATGTATGTAACAGCAACAACAGAAAGACTATTCAAATAAGGCTTAGCTATAACACAGCAATTACAAGAACTTCCAAAGTTAAATAACTTTAGACTATACTACTGATTTGTTGGATCAATCAGAATCTGAACATAGGAAACATCCATTGCTATTGGTTCATTCAGTATAAGCAGGAAAATTCAGGGAAATAACTTAAAAACACCTGTGGCTTACAATGAAGGGAAGTTTTAGATTCTAACATAAGAGCTGTTTGGACCACACTGGCATCATTTAGATGACTGTTTCAGTCATTCCGACAATAAGGCAGAATGCACTGTTTTTTTTTTTTCTCATACTGAGATACTATGCCACGGAACTTCTTAACTAATTCAAAGTTTGAGTTAAAAAACCATCACAGCATTTAAAAACCAAAGCTAGCCAGGCAGATTACTTGCGGTCAGGGGTCTGAGACCAGCCTGGCCAACACTGCAAAACCCCATCTCTTATAAAAACACAAAAATTATCTGGGCATGGTAGTGGGCACCTGTAATCCCAGCTACTCAGGAGGCTGAGGCAGGAGAATTGCTTGAACCCAGGAGGTGGAGGTTGCAGTGAGCTGAGATCATGCTACTACACTCCAGCCTGGGCGAAAGCAGCGAAACTAAAACAAAACAAAACAAAACAAAACAAAACACCAAAGGTATCACCATACATTATGGGACAGTAGACAGTATTCATATTTCATATTTAAATCATATACACCAACAGACCTCCCATGCATACATATGTACTCTCTTCTGCGTTTACTGGTATTTCACTAAGCATCTTATCTTTGAGAGGTACTGGTACTGAAGGAAAAAGCTGGGTTTCATCTTTAATTTAGACCTCAAATTCTGGTTCCATATTAACTAGTTACTTAATCTTAGGCAAGTTATTTTAGTTATTTGAGCATTAATTTCTTCATCTTTATTTTGAGACGGAGTCTTGCTCTTCTGTTGCCCAGGCTGGAGTGCAGTGGCGCAACCTCGGCTCACTGCAGCCCCTGTCCCCCGAGTGGCAGTAATTCTCCTGCTTCAGCCTCCTGGGTAGTTGGGATTACAGGCATACACTACCACGCCCAGCTAATTTTTGTATTTTTAGTAGAGATGGGGTTTCACCATATTGGCCAGGCTGATCTCGAACTCCTGACCTCAGGTGATCCACCCACCTCAGCCTCCCAAAGTGCTGGGATTACAGGTGTGAGCCACTGTGCTCAGCCTTCTTCATCTTTAAATAGGATTGTTATAAGGAGGGTGCCTAGGATATGCACAAAGTACAAAGGTAGAATCTGAAAGCTTTGAGCACATTTGTTACTTAAAGGCAGATGTGTCCAACTCTGAGATGCTTAAGAAATGATAAGAACAATTCAGTATCTTGCCTTAGAAATTTTTATAAGTCTTTTTCACTTCCAAGGTGGTCTAGCTGAATTCTAGCTGATCTATATTCTTTGTAAGTATGTCAGACTATGGTCATTATTCTTTCTACCCAGAATGCTTTCTTATTCTCCTTCTGACAGGAAGAATAGCAGCTCCTGTCTTCTGTGAAACTCCACCATATTTCTTGGTCCTAATAGGGCTGTCAATCTATGATGTCTCTTTCCCTTCTGCCCCCATACTATGAGACTGAACCATATACAACGGCCTTTTCAGTTGTAAAAATATTGCTATTAGAAATTTCAGCTGGACATGGCAGCTTACAACTGTAATCCTAGCACTCAGGGAGGCCAAGGTAGGCAGATCACTTGAGCCAGGAGTTCAAGACCAGACTGGGCAAGATAGTCAGAACCCATCTCCACAAAAATAGAAAAAATTACCTGGGCATGGTGGCACACGTTTGCAGTCTCAGCTACTTGGAGAACTGAAGTGGGAGGATCACTTAAGCCCAGGAAATCAAGGATGCAGTGAGCTTTAATCACTTCACTGAACTCAAACCTAGGCAAAAGAGGAAGACCCTGTCTCAAAAAAAAAAAAAAAAAAAAGGAAGGAAGGAATTTCATATGGCTCAATCTAATACTACCACAGGAGTAGTAGTCATAAGATATAGTCTAGGCCAAATGAAGCCCTCTCAAATTTCCCAGAGATAGAGTTATAGCCCATCCTCCTTGGTACTCCAGCTACAAGGATGTCACCCTAAGACTGTCAAAAATAAAGGTGGTTCTAACTACCTTGAATTCCAGTTCTAGTCTCTGAAGGCTTGGCCCGTCAATTCTGAGAGCTACTCCAATATTCCTCCCAGCTAATTATGTTACCTAATAAATCTACTTTTTGCAAGCCATTATTTGTAAACCAACAACCATGATTAAGTCAGTAAACTATATGGGTATGTTTCTAAATTGTTAATAATTCATGAAAGATGAGCTATACCTTTATAATATAATCACAGATAAAATACTTATATGAGTTTTATAAACATATGACCTGCTTAATGGACAGCTGAGCTACTAGATCATCAGATTACAATGTCAAGCTTAGAGTGCTGGGTTTTAGTACCAACTTGGTAACTTTTACCTTCAGCAAACTTGTTTTTTTAATAAAATGACTAAGGTGTTTAAATTGTGTGAAACCTGTATGGTGACAAGAAAGGTGGTTCAGCTTGTAAAAATCCTACCACAACCTGACAGACACTGTGAGAGGACATAAGAACAATTTTTCAAAGGGCATAACAAGTACAAAGTTAACCATTAACAATGCTCTACATTTATATTGTGCTTTTCATATTTATTATCTCAGCCCCTGCTCCCACACTAGACAGATATATTTTATATTGGAGGAAATAGCTCAAGAAACTAAATAGCTTGCTCAAGGTCACCAAACTAATCTAGATATCTGAGACTCAAACATAGGTCTTTTGACTCTCAACTTAAGTGCCCTTTATTCTATTCCATGCTGCATTCTAACAATAATCACAGAGGACCAAACAGATACATCCTTTCACAAAGCCACCGAGGGGGTTTAAACTACTGAGTGAGTTAATCAGTTTTTGTTTCAAAAAGATCATTTTGGTTGCTGCATGAGAATAGACTGGAACAGGGTAAGAGTAAACCCAAGAACAGACAGGAGGCTACTACAGTAACCGATGTGAAATGTGATGATGGCCTATGTTAGGGTTAAGCTGTTCAAGTGTCTCAATTTCTCCAGAACAAATATGTCTATTATCTCAGTATAAATATTATCATAATGCCCCTTTCACTCCCAAGTTCCCTGGCTTGAATGATCAATTACAGGGTCACAATAGCTAAGGCAATAAGCAAGGGCAATGTAACAGAGCACAGTAGTTATCACCAGAGTTCCTCATAGCTCTAATTCCTTCCTGTCTAAAATCTTGGCTTTTAATCCTTTCAGGGGCATGAATTTCTTTGAGAATCCAATAAGAGCTGGGGTAGAATAGTGCATGAATTCTGGTATTACACTAACTAAATAAATGTTTGCTTTTTTTTTTTTTTTTGAGGCTCACTCTGTTGACCAGGCTGGAGGGCAGTGGTACCATCTTACGGCAACCTTCACCTTCTGGGTTCAAGGTTCTCCTGCTCAGCCTCGGTTAGCTAAGGCTGGGAGTAGCTGGGAGAACAGAGGCATATGCCACCACGTCTAATTTTTTTTTTGTACATACGGGGTTTTGCCACGTTGGTCAGGCTGGTCTCAAACTCCTGACCTCAAGGAATCTGCCTGCCTCAGCCTCCCAAAGTGCTGGGATTACAGGTGTGAGCCTCTGTGCCCAGCCATCTGTTTGCTATTTGCCAACTCTGTGACTTTCTTCATGTGTAATTTACTCATGTGAACTGGCACTTACCTCAGGTTTGGGATGATTAAATAGTGCACAGCATGATCATATAGGGTGGTTTCAATAAGTTACTATCTTACAGTGATGTTCTTTACTGCACTGTTTATTTTTGCCACAAAATTAGAAATGATCTAAAGTCTAATGATGAGGTTAAATAAGCTATATGTCCATACTATATAATATCATGCAATAATTAAAGTAACACAGTAGGAGTATAAGCTACAAATTTGAAAGATCTATAAGATGACTTAAGTGGAATAAGCAAAATGCAAAACAATATGTACTGAATAATTTATTTACAGACATACACACCAAAACACACTTTTAAAAATTAACACAAAAAACATACAAACACATGTATATATAATGTACACAGAAAGAAGCTATGAAGTATACACATCAAACTGGTAATTGGGTTACTTCTGACAAGGAAGGTGAGATCAGAAAAGTGGGAATAAAGAGAAATTTTCGCTTTTCAGTGTACATATTCCAGTATATTATTTGAATTTCACAAAAATGTGTATTAATTTATGCCTTTTAAGCTAAAATGTATTGCTTCTGAAGCTTAACTTCTTAAAACAAGTTTCCTCCAGTTACAGTGTTTCAATGTTACAAGGAACATACCAAAGTAGAATACAAATAACTTAAAATTTCTGTCATAATTACTAAAACAAGAAGAGACGTTATCTTAAAGTCCAACAACTCTCTCATCATTTTATAAATAAATGAAGACTCTGAGAAATCAGGTGAGTTACCCATGGCCACACAACAAACTGGAGTCAGAGGCAAACTGGAGTCAGAGTTCCTTCCTCTGATGACTCTATATAATCCACTGCTCTTGTTCTTTCCATTTTGAAAACTTTGCTCTTACATTTTTTTCCTCCCAATCTCTAAGATACCACCATTCTCATTCACAATAAACTAAGAATATAATAGTTTAGTAAAGGAATGTATCTATTTTCTGAGGGCTATTAACATTCCCTTTCCTTAATCCAAGTAGATTAGAACATTGTCCTGATATACCCCCTTTTATAGAGTAGGAGTATAAGCTAAAATTAGTAATCCCCCCACTTTTTAAAAATTTTTGTGCCTTCTCAAAATAGTTTTCAGCTTTGAAGGTTAAAATATGAAATACAAATGAATTCTCTAGCATTCCTGAATTCATTAAAGAAAAAAAAAGAGCCGCCTCGGACCAGACAGAATGGCTCCCGCAAAGAAGGGTGGCGAGAAGAAAAAGGGCCGTTCTGCCATCAACGAGGTGGTGACCCGAGAATACACCATCAACATTCACAAGCGCATCCATGGAGTGGGCTTCAAGAAGCATGCCCCTCGGGCACTCAAAGAAATTCGGAAGTTTGCTATGAAGGAGATGGGAACTCCAGATGTGCGCATTGATACCAGGCTCAACAAAGCTGTCTGGGCCAAAGGAATAAGGAATGTCCCATACCGAATCCGTGTGCGGTTGTCCAGAAAACGTAATGAGGATGAAGATTCACCAAATAAGCTCTATACTTTGGTTACCTATGTACCTGTTACCACTTTCAAAAATCTACAGACAGTCAATGTGGATGAGAACTAATCGCTGATCGTCAAATACATCAAATAAACTTTAAAAATTGCAAAAAAAAAAAAAAAAAGAAAACAATGAAGAGAAAATGGAGATCCACAAACCTCTTACTATCAGTCTAATCTATTTACTGGCATAAGTCAGTCTCTTTTTAGAAGTACAAGGAAATTTTTATGTGACTAGTAAACTTTGTATTTTAAAATTTAAAATATTACAGTTTAGGCCAGGCACCATGGTTCAGGCCTGTAATCCCAGCTCTTTGGGAGGCTGAGGTGGGCGGATCATGAGGTCAGGAGTTCGAGACCAGCTTGGCCAACATAGGGAAGCCCCGTCTCTACTGAAAATACAAAAAATAAGTCAGGTGTTGGTGGGCACCTGTAATCCCAGCTACTCAGGAGCCTGAGGCAGGAGATTTGCTTGAACCTGAGAGGTGGAGGTTGTGTTGAGCAGAGACTGCACCATTGCATTCCAGCCCAGCTGACAGTGTGAGACTCCATCTCAAGAAAAAAAAAAAATTACAGTTTAAAGAATACAATGATAGCTATTCATTATGCTTTTATTACACTGAATCATAGTTAATTTCTTTTCTGAACTGTCGAGAAATATGTGTCATCTTTGCAGAGATAAGTGTATTTTATTTTATTATAAATATCCAAAAGTTGGCAATCTAGTATCATATCAGAATGAGACATGCTCACACATTCTAGTATTTCTGGGTTTTACTGATTTTCTATCTTTCTAAAACAGAATACTTATTGTCTTGTTTTTTTACTGGGGGCATACAATCATAATGTAACCACTTCTTGGTGACTCAGTCTTCATTTAGAATATTAATTACTATGCTGCAAGCATTGTGGTGAAATGATGTTGTAGAGGCTTTTATATTTCTTTTCTTTTCTTTTCTTTTTTGAGACGGAGTTTCGCTCGTTACCCAGGCTGGAGTGCAATGGCGCAATCTTGGCTCACCGCAACCTCCGCCTCCTGGGTTCAGGCAATTCTCCTGCCTCAGCTTCCGGAGTAGCTGGGATTACAGGCACCCGCCACCGTGCCCAGCTAATTTTTTGTATTTTTAGTAGAGACGGGGTTTCACCATGTTGACCAGGATGGTCTTGATCTCTTGACCTCGTGATCCACCTGCCCCGGCCACCCAAAGTGCTGACATTACAGGCTTGAGCCACCGCACCCGGCCTTATATTTCTAATTAAATAACTGAGCATCATGGCTCAGGCCTGTAATTCAGCACTTTGAGAGGTTGATGCAAGAGGACTGCGTGAGCCAAGGAGTTCAAGACCAGCCTGGGCAACCTACGGTGACCCTATCTCTACCAAAAAAGAAAAAAAAAAATTAGCTCGGGGGTAGCAGCACACACCTATTGTCCCAGATACTCAAGGCTGAGGCAGGAGCATTACTTGAGCCTAAGAGGTCATGGCTGTAGTAAGCCATGATTGTGCCACTGCACTCCATCCAGTCTGTGACAGAGGAAGACCCTGTCTTTAAAATAAATAAACAATAATTTTTACAAAGCCAGGTGTGATGGCACATGCTTGCAGTCAAGGGGCTGAGGCAGTAGGACTGTCTGAGCCCAGTTCAAGGCTGCAGTGAGCTACAACTGCATCACTACACTCCAGCCTGGGCAAAAGAATAAGGCCCTATTGCCAAAAAAAAAAAAAATAATAATTAGTATTACATTTTCAATTTTCTTTTTTGTAGAGATGAGCTCTCGCTATGTTGCCCAAGCTGGTCTTGAATTCCTAGCCTCAAGCAATCTTCTCTGCTCAGCCTCCCAAAGTGCTGGGATTATAGACATGAGCCACGGCACCAGACTGCATTTTTGGTGTTCTAATCCTTTTACCTTTCTCCTTACCTCTTTGCATTTAGGATTAACTATGTCTAGCTATAGCAATGCTCCCTTTCCAATCTAATTTCCTACATTATGAGATATTAAATAACGAAGCTCTCTGAACTGTTGATGTGAAAATCCTCTAAAATGAGGACCTCTTCTATTTTAAAAATGTATTACAGGGTGAGTATCCCTTATCTGAATTGCTTAGGACCAAAAGTGTTTCAGGTCTCAAATTTTTAAGATTCTGGAATATCTGCACAAACACATAATGAGATATTTTGGGAAGGGGATCCAAGTCTAACAACAAAATTCATTTATGTTTCATGTGTATCTTACACACCTGTCCTGAAGGTAATTTTATACAATATTTAAAAAATGATTTTGTGCATGAAATAAAGTGTACACTGAACTATCAGAAAGCAAAAGCATCACCATCTTAGACACCCACATGGACAACTGATTGTTGTTTGGCACAACCTTCATTCCAGACTCTGAACTCACATGCTACAAATAAGTAATCACTTTTTAAATACTTAAGTACTTAACAGGAAAATGCAAGACCAACTTCTCCTCTTCCTCTTCCTCCTGAACCTACTCAACTCATGTTGAGTAGTTGAGATGAGGAGAAGGAAGACTTTATGATGATCTACTTCCATTTAATGAATAAACGAATTTTCCTATGATTTTAACAATATTTCCTTTTCTCTAGATTATAAGAATACAGCATATAACATATATAGTACATAAAATATGTGTTAATCAACTTGTTACCAGTAAGGCTTCTGGTCAACAGTAGGCTATTAGTAGTCAGGCTTTTGGGGAACCAAAAGTATATGTGGATTTTCGACTGAGTGGAAGAGGGAGTTGGTACTCCAAACTCCCATGTTATTCAAGGGTGAACTGTGTACTAAAGCCTGTATCAGCCAGGCGCAGTGGCTCATGCCTGTAATCCCAGCACTTTGGGAGGCCAGGTGGACGGATCACGAGGTCAAGAGATTGAGATCATCCTGACCAAAATGGTGAAACACTGTCTCTCCAGGAAAAAAAAAAAAAAAAATTAGCTAAACGTGGTGTCGCATGCCTGTAGTCCCAGCTACTTAGCGGCTAAGGCAGAAGAACTGCTTGAACCAGGAAGCCAGAGGTTGCAGTGAGCCAAGATCATGTCACTGAACTCCAGCATGGTGACAGAATGAGACTCCGTCTCAAAAAATAATTTTAAAAAGCCCCTATCTTCACCACACACAAAAATAAAATCCAAGAAGATTAAAGAATTAAAGACAAAATTATAAAATCTTTAGAAAATAACTGCAAATGCCTTCAAATCCTACAAACAGCAAGAACAGTAAAGTCCTTAAAAAGACACAAAAAGAACCATAAAATACTGACACTTTACTACAACAGAATTCAGATGTTTGCTCACCAAAAGACATAAAAGAGAAAGCAATCCATAAACATGGAAAAGATAGCTGTAACACATATAAATGATAAAAATTAGTATCTAGACTGAGCATGGTAGCTCATGTCTAATCCCAGCACTTCAGCAGGCCAAGGCAGGAGGACTGCTTGAGCTTAGGAGTTTGAAATAAGCCTGGGCAACACCCCTGTCTCTACAAAAAATACAAAAGCTAGCCAGCATGGTGGTACACACCTGTAGTCCCAGCTACTCAGGAGGCTGAGGTGGGAGGATGACCTGAGACCAGAGAAGTCGAGACTACAAACAATTCTATAGTTAGTCAAGGCTTTTGTCAGTCTCTAGAAACACCTCATAGGAAAGGAAACATAAATTGCCAACGAACATAAAATGAGGCTCAAGCACCTCATTAATAATCTTGGAAGGGAAAATTAAAATAATCTGAAATACTATTTTATGCATATCAGACTGACCAAAAATTTCAAGCGTGATAACATCATGTGTTCCCAAAGATATGGAGGGATGCAAACTCTCAAACATTACTGATAGAAAGTAACCTGTTTCAATGACTTTAGGGGGGGAAAAAGCCTTGGCAATATCTAGTAAAACTGAAGACACATTTCCTATGACCCAGCAATTCCACTGTTACCCTGACCTAGAGCAGGAGTCAACAAACTTTTCTGCAGAGAGGAAAATAGTTAAATATTTCAGGCTTTCCAGATCACAGAGTCTTGTGGCAAACTACTTAGATGCCTTTGTAACACAAAAACAGCTAAAAATACGTAAATGAATATGTGGCTATGTTCCAATAAAACTTCATTTGTAAATCAGGTGATCTCCCAAGCATAGTCTCCCAGTCTCTGTTGTAGAGAAACTTCTGCAGACATATGAACACCAAAAGACATGTCCAAGAATATTCACAGCAACACAGTTCATCATAAAAACAAACTGGAAGCAACCTAAACATCCATCAATTGTAAAATGGGTAAATAAACTGTAATATTAACAATCAACAGAATATCAGGATAGTAAAAATAAACTATGGCGATATGCAATATCATTTTGAATCTTGGAACATGATGAATGTAAAGAGCAAGTTGGGTGAAATTTACATAAAGTTCAAAAAACATATAAAAAGTAAATAATACAATGTTTAAAATAAAACTACTAAAAAACCAAGGGAATGATATATACAAAACTTACGACAATAGTTATGTCTGATGGTTATATGACAGAAGACAGGATATCGGGACACTCACACATAATGGAACATTTCTATGATTAAAACACGTATGATACTTTTTAGAGAGAGGGAGGGAAGTTCAGTGATTTTTCTCTTCTGTAAAAGTGGATGGGGGATATGATAACTGGTCTACATTACTGACTTACTTTATTCTTTGGAGAACAATGAATCCATTTTGTGAATTAAATTCCAAAACAAAAAGTTGTATTTCCAAAGAACCCTGGGGTTTTATGGCATAAAAACAGCTAGACTAGATGGTCTTTATGACAGTTTTGAGGCCTAATGGTATGACCCTAAGATTAGTCATCTACAACCCTATGGAAAAAAACAGTCCTTCATTTCAAAAAGTTATATGATATGTGATAAAATATCATCCCAAGAAAAAATAAGTTGTAAAAAAATTTGAAATAGTCTCTGATCTCCCCTTCCTAAAGCATTTATGCTGAGACACTGTGCAGCCCTTATTGGTTAGAATGGTAATGGCAGAAGATTAGGTTAGATTAGAGAAGCTAATTTTAGTGAAGACTATGAGAGACCAATAACAATACCACATAATGTGTATATTTATATATATATTTTTG